CGGCGAAATTGGATTTGACGGGATTGCTCGACGGACGAGTGATCACGTGTAAAAGCTACACGGTGATTAAACGGGGGATTGAGAAGCGACATACAGACGGCGTCCCGCAACCTCCGATCGTGATTTCAAACGGTATTTTTTTTGCATGAAATTACATTATAAAAAAAAAATTTTAATACGAACGTTAATGTTATTTTGAACGACGAATCGAGAAATGCTTTTGCTTCATAAATGAAATTATTTCACAAGAACAGTCTACAAAATTGACACTTTCGCAATGCGGATAATATAGTCCGCAATATCTAACAACTAATATTAACAAATAATTCTTGAAATTAATCAAAGAGTCTACATATTAAATTTATATAGACTTGTATAAATCTTGTACTAATTGGGGTCACTGATCCTTCCTATCTTATTTATGGCCGCCAAATAAGCTTGGTAAGGTAACGATCTAAATCCTTAAATCCTTTGTACACTGGCATCACTTCATTACACGCCGCTGGTCCAAACTAGGATGGCGAATATCGAAAAAATGGCCACGTAGCTCTCGCACAGAAGGCCAACAGCAGCACGTCGTTAGTCCAGCCTCCAATTTGTCGGCTTCTCTTTTCCGTTCCGGGCGATTTTCGACGCGGGACGGGGCCCTTTGATGGCCAACAATGAACGACGGTCTTTTACAATGCGGTCGAGCAGCGACAAAGTCGACTCCGTCGACGGGCGACAACGACTACGTACGTCCGCCGCCGAGCATCTTTTAGTAGCGCGGTAGGTAGGTAGGTAAGTAAGCCAGAAAAAATTGGAGCTTCTCTGAAACGTGGGCGGCCTTAGTTGAATGGCGTTTCGGCATATTTCAAAAACGACAAATATTTTCCCCAAAAGGTGTTATTCGCACCGTCACTAAAAACGTGCCGCCCTGAGATGTTTCGGGAACGAAAAACCTAAATGCGTGAAATTGTTGCGGAAATCGGCTTACCGAATTTCTTCACGGATAGACTCCGTTTTTGGGGATAATTGAGTCGTTAAGCGAGATAATCGATATAAAAGAGCGAAAATAATTTCCCACGCGTGTATATGTACACTTACGGTATACATATGTATATATTTATGCAAAAGTATTTCAGCATAATTTCAAACCTGAAATTTTAGATTTTTTCTTTATAAAGATAAAAAGATATTAGATTTTATATTAAATATTTTCTCTCGAACTTTCCTGGTTCGAAAAATGTGAGTGATATCTAATTGGTCTATTTTTAACGATCTGATTATATTTCAATATAAATTACGATGCAAATAACTTATGAATCTCACCGTTGGAATATTTTTAGTATTTACAAGAGACTAAATTTCCTTTAATCAGTAATTTAGTATATTCTTGGTTTGCGAAAAATTCTGTAAATAAATTCTGGTAAATAATTTCCGGAATCTTATTATATTTATCACATTTGCATTAGACTTATCTTATAATTTAATCGGCAACAGCAACTCGCAAATTGCAGTAGTAATTTGCAGTTCGTGTATTCAATTATTCGACAGACTTTTAATAAGGGTTTCATATAAAACGCGGCCGAGTTTCGTGTCGTTGTCGGTTACGGTTTCGCGACTTCGGGAATGCTCGCCCTCATACTGAAGAGTCGTGGAGAACGCGTTAAAAGCGCGAAATAATTGTACTCCGCTGATGGTTCGTTATAACGGTTAGGTATATATGCACGGCGCGGGGATGGAAGGGAAAAGCGAAGTGGTTTTTCGCGAGAGCAGAAGCTCATTGTCGCGTCGACGAGAAGCGCGAACGAGCGCATAACGGCTGGATGACGCTCTCGCGAAAGCGAAAAATGGAAGCGCGCGCGCGGCGACCAAGCGAGGCCCGACAAAGGGCCGAGGACCGAGTTGAGAGACGCGCGCGCGGCGAATTTCCGCATGTGTGTAACCGGGCTCTTTTTGTGCAACCGTCCCGGTCCGCCTTGCAAAATGTCCGCACCGGGTTTGTTAAGCGAGAGGGAATACCGACACAGAAGCGGAAGCGTGCACGAAAGCGACGCTCCCGCGTTCCATCCCTTCTTTTTGCGACAATGGCGAACGGAAATATCGCCGAAGCGGAAATCGGTGGATCGCTGGGCCGAGAGAGTCACGAGAGCTACCCGTTCATACCACTCCATCCGTCGTACTCAAATATCATGCGGGAGCTTTTTTGATTCGCTTTCTCGAAAATGCCAGAGTTCCCCAGAGAAGCATTCGTTAACGCGGCTCTTACGACGGCGACGGTGACGCAGTGACCAACACCTCGCGGTTTAAGGATTAAGTATTAACGTCAGTCCGAACTGCCGTTGCGACTCATGTCGGAGAAGACTCAAAAGACTTCAATATCCCTCTTGCACGACCACTACCATTACCTCGCGACCAATGCGGCTGCTCTCCACTGAGAAAATGTACCGACCGCCATAAACCGTCACCGCCGCGCCGCCGTGTACGCGTTCAGCTTTTTCAGGTGTGTCGGCTACGCGACCTCCCGAGGGAAGAAGTCCCATCTTTTCGCGAGTCAGCGGTAAAATTTACATACTCCTCGTCGCGTTAATGTAACGGAGTGCGGACGAGAGAAAGCGAGAGAGAGAGAGAGAGAGAGAGAGAGAAAGAGAAATATAGCGAGACGATGAGATACGCGGTACGCGATCGCGGAAGCGGTCGGGGGACGACAAAAGGAGAGAGATGGAGAGATGTCGGAGGGGGAGGTGGTGTCACGAGAGGGTGGCGCACCCAAGACTTAAGGGTCATGCTCACACCGAATTCCAAGCATGCGCCCGGTACCTGCTCGGAATATCGTCTCGTCATATTTCCGTCGTAACGTGTCGGATCCTCGCCCACCCTCGAACCACTCCCCCTCCCCCGCCCCTACCCGGTCGACACATCACCCCCGCCAGGCGCGACCGCTTGACACGAGACGATATTTTATTTGCAAAGAGCCCTGGCTGCAGGTTGCGGCTTCTTCTTATCTTGTGTGCACAGGAATTTCTGTCTTCGGTACAGCCCGTCGCGGCGCGGCGCACAGATTTCACAGTGCTCATCACACTCCTCTCTCTCTCTCTCTCTCTTTCTCTATACGTGAGTCTCTACTTTTCATTTGTCTTTCTATATAACTCTTTAAACTTTGTCGTTTCTCTCTTTTTCTCTCTCAATTTATCCAGGAGTGAAGGCTGATTTTGGTAAAAGTTAATAATTTTCAAATATATATATATAAACAGAAAGATATTGAGAAACGTGTGTGTGACAAGACTTACGTACATGTATTTTATCTCGCAAAATAAAGCTTTAAATGTTCGACAAATATTTGTAAATACAAAATTACTATCTCAGAGTCTCAGCCTGACAGCTGAGGGCTTGAAACTCAAGTTCTATTAGTTTTCATATAGAGCCATCCCTATATGTGTCTACCTCGAAGTCTACCTTGCACGGCCTATCTCTTGTCGCCGTCTTCTCCGTCTCATTCTCTCGTTCTCTTTCTCTTTCTCTCGCTCCGTCGAGCACCACCTTCCCTGACTCTTCTTTCGTGCGGGCGATACGATGAATTATTTATGAATAGCACCCAGGAACAAGTCGAATCGACCACGCTCGAGAGACCCGGCACGGGCGGCGCCTCCTCGAAAGAAAGATGCCCGATACATATCCAAACCTATTCATCTTATCGAGCTGGCCCGCGAGAAAAAAAAAAGGAATTAATATCCTCGGACGCGCACCGGCGAAACGAAACACGCCCTCGGGATCGCGAGGCGACATCGATGCGATCGCGTTGTCGTTATAAATGACGCGTTAGATAGCGGGAATGCCTTTTATTTAAAAAACTGCGCGCCGAACACTTCGTCACGTACGTTTTGCAAATTACACTCGAAACTGCATCGCGTCGAGGACGTCAATAAATTGCGTTATTAAGCTCGTCGCGTACTAGCGATTATACTGTAAGTTATGTCGACGACGAACTCGTTGGACCCGTTAAATGTATGATTAACGACCAGCGGTATTTACTACATCGATTACACCCGACAATCCCGAATGTCCAATAACGAGGCTCTGTTATGACGTAACGATCCATACACGCGGGTTTATATTTTCTTTTCTATGGAAAAGTCACTGCACAATTTTTCGCGGCTGTGCTTGTCATTCTTCGGAAAAAAAATTTTTGCTCTTATAAAAGAGCCGTTTAAAAGCGTGGAAGCGTATCGGTAAATAACGACATCGTTGCATTTATAATTTCACGGAGCGTAAAAGATGCAAAGTGAGAAAGGCACGAAGAAGGAAGTGGGATCGTAGGAGCGGGTCGTAGGAAGCAGGAAGATGTTGATGTTTCGCAGGTCGTACAATGTACGAGGTATGTCGGTACCTCCTCGGGGTTCTCTCGCATGGGTAACGATGCGCAGCATAAAATGCACGGCAGAAATACTGTAAGAACGGCCGTCCGCGTTGCTGTCTCCGTCGTCGTCGTCGTCGTCGTCGTCGTCGTCGTCGCCGCGCACGTCGGATATTCTGCCGGAATAATAAAATACAGGACTTCCTTCGCCTCGTGTTTTCGTTTTATCCGCATTCCTAGCATCTTCGTGCATCTTTCTCGCCTTCCAACATGTCGTAAGATGAGAGAATCGGTTTACTTCCCTTTTCGAGAGACCTATCATATACTATCTCAACTCGAATGGTAGGTACGTGATATTCTCAATAGAAGCCCTTTTGGCCAACGACTTTTTTCATTTATTTGACTCATCTTGACTACTATTTATTATGGCTACGACAATAACAGTAATAATGCAAGTCGATACGCCGTTCGGAAGTTCGATGATTTAGATTTTAGAAGATTTTGAATTGGTCAGGATTAAATGTTCTTCTGGAAAAAGACTTCTGTCCAACTCCAAAGGAATGTATTGTGAAAATCTTATGGAGCGAAAAATACGTGCTCCAAAGCGCTACTGTCACATTTCGATGGACCGTGAAAACCTTATGTTAGGCGCGACTAATCGTACCTGCGAAACAGAGGTGGCTCATGCACGAGCAGGTGAAAATCGTTCTCGGAACAGATCTCACGGTCCCGATGGTGCACAGCGCACTTAAAACTTCTGGTCCGTTTTCCGCTCATCTGCAATCAAAGATATAAATATAAAGTATGAGAGATTAAATATAATATAATATAGTTATGAAAGATGTAAATATAAAGATTTAAATATAATATAGTTACGAAAGATGTAAATATAAAATTACCTAAAGATAATTATATGAATTATATACATTAAACTAGTTGGACTGCAGAAGAAAAGAATTCTTTGTCAATTTTAATACAAATTAGCATAGAATAGAAAGATCATAGATATATAGTCAAAAATAGATATATAAGTCAAAAAAAGTTATAAAACATTTCCAAAGAATTGATATCTCATTAGAACGTACATTAATCTTTTTATTTAAATTATTTTTTAAGAATAAAATCGAAATGAAAATAATTTAAATGGAAACCGTAAAATTTAAAGTGAAAAATAATCTAAACTCACATAAAAATGAAAGACAAGGATTTCTTATGCGCACAGTATATTAATTATTACGCTATAGAATCATTCAACAATTATTAAATGTACGAAACAATTCACTTTTACTTATATTACATATGATCTAAAAAAAAAACATTGAAAGATTATAAAGATTTGACGTATTCGCACTCCATTTAAGTGGTAAATCGCGAAACTCGGGATTTGTCTTGCGGGAATTCGTAGGGACAAAGGCTCGTTGCCGGTCTTGGCACCAACCCGGTGCACAGGAAGCGCGAGCCACATAGAGGGTTCCTCGAGGCTGATATTTGGATCGGGATCCGTTAACGCGGTTAGGCAAATGCAAGCAAGAACGTTAGCAAACTTCTCGAGGTAAGTTGTGTATATGTACGTAGACGAGTGCTGCGCTAGAGACCACCGCATGCCTGTTGTATTCACTCAACACGATTACATACACACATACGCACACATACCTCGAGATCGTCTTACACGTGTAGTTTGTAGCCCGTTTGCATAGGGATAAGTGTATACGCAATGACATAGCCAAAGGACTAATGCAGTGGTTAAAATTAGTTAAGTATCAGCACAGTCAAATTCTCAGTGTCCTTGAGGCAAGGAACAATTGTATCTGTGTGTGCTTCTGTCACGTTATATTATTACAGAGATGCTATGGAGGTAGTAAAATAGCAACATGAAGAAAATTTAGTTATAGAAATCAATGAGGCAAAATATGCATGTGTTTTTGTGTTATCGATTAGGTTGATAATTTTTATGTCATTTCTGATGCACACGCGATTCTATTTAGAATTTTCCTCAATAATCGAGACCATCAGGAAAATGTACATTTAATTATATCGAGTACTATAAATAATTTGAGTACTATAAATATATATAATGTATAATAAAACAATAAGTATTCTAGTTGTAAGCTATAGACTTATTCAAACAAATAATTATAATTACGAGCGCAGATTTAATGAACAATCGTTCATGAAGTGTACCCTCGGCGCAAATTGCACAGCAATAAAATTTAATTCTCTTGCATTACGATTTACATTCTCGTGCAACCGTGTCATTCCGAATGCGTTTCGCTCTTTGTGAGAAACATGCGCGATACGTTACGCGAGTTTTCCACACGTCTTCTTTATTCACAAAGAACACTTCCATGCAAACTAGATAAGCCGCCGGGCTTTCTCATACGAGTATCTTCAGCCCGATGGCATCTTAGAGATTTTACATTCAGTCGCTTTTTTATCATTCCTTCTGCTCTCTCGCACGTTTCATCTGTGATTTACGTTAGACATCATTCAAGAACAGCTACATCGATTTCTCTCACCGTAAAACATTTCCTTTTCAATTCTTCATTTCTATTTATTTCATTATGTTTCACGTATTAATAATATATATATCACGTATTAATATTATTTCGCAAAAATTTTAGAAATTTGGAAATTTAAAAATTACAGTGGAAAGATCGAGAAGTATACAAAGACGATGATAGATGTTTGAAAAGTAAGTTTTGCAAATTTTATTGCTTATTGTGCCTCCAAGCTTTTTTATACCTGTTTTCCGTTGCTTTCTTTCGTCTGCATGTTATTTCAGGTGTGTGACTCGCTTTATCCGTATTTTTCGACTTTGCCGATTTATTATCCTGAATGCTTTCCTTCATTTTCTTGACAATCCCATTCTGGCAAAGATCGAACTGGAAAATATATCGAAGTGAATTCTCTCACGTACGGAGCGAATGCTGGTTGCCCACCCACGGAGACTTTCGAGATTCAATACCCTTTGACACTTGGTATTTGTCGAGGTATCGAATGTCTCAAAGAGATCTTTTAAAATTAGAATCATTTACAATATCCATTTTTTGTTACTTTTTTTTATTAAATTTACATATCTATATTGTTATCGCACATCGTGTTCGAATGTAGATATGTACAATTGAAAGAATAGAAATATAAACGAGGTATACAAAAATATACCTCGGTATAGACACGATATAAAGAAAAAAAAAAGAAATATGAATATATATCTGGTAAAATGTCACTTATGCATCGAAACAAGAATATTGGAAAATGAAATTTATATTCGCGCAACACGAAGTTCCGTCAAAAATAATTTTTCAATTTGCGGCTGCCGTATCATCATTGTAAGATAACAAAATGGGAATGCAAGAAGCAGAAATTTCAGTTGTCGTGGTTGTGCCTTCAGAAATACGATGGTGGTAGCTTGATTTCTGCTCGTCTGATTGCCAAAAAGGAAGCCGCCGGAGAGACGAGCCTGAAGAAAGGAAGAAGCGTTGAGAAGGATGCGTCGGGAATGAAGGGCTCGATGGAGAGAAATTTGGACTAGTCAACGAAGAAAATTTAATTTGCTCTCCGCGTTCAACGTACTTCGTCGTCGTCGTCGTCGTCCGGGGCACGGTTATCGAACACTCCACGGCGACTTTATCGACGTCCACTTTGCGGTCTTCTTCTTCGAGAAGCGCTCGTTTTCATTAACGGTGTGACGTGCTTCCGATCGCGTTTCCACGTCGACGAGATCCTCTCGTCGACGAAAAATGCGATTCGCGGGCGCGCAGACAGCGCTGTTACACGTTACGCCGAAGTGTTTCTTCCTGTCGTCGCGAGACTTTGACAAAGCGCGAGTCATAAAAATGTATTGCCGCAGAAAAGTTACTTTCATTAGGAAGTCTGTCTATTTTCAAGCGCGAAAAGTTTTTGTAATCGCGCAACAAGTTCTCTTCCTGTAAAAAATTAAAAATCAAAGTTTCAAAGTTTTTCGCGCTCGGAAAACAGATTTCTTTCTATCGCTATCACATACTTTATTCTTGAAAGTTTTTTCTTTTTTTTTTGTACAGAGAGTTACACAATTACCTTCAAAGACAACGAATGTTAAACTATATTATTAATGAAAAAGAGAAATTTCAATCGTTAACCTGCCTTTGTGAGTTACGTTGTCTTTGCGAATTTTATTCCGTTGCAACGAGCTTGTTACTTTCTTTAAGTATGCCCTTTCAGCTTCGTGTAGTATTTTTCCCCTTTTTTTCAATATAGCTGCATACAAAAACGGTGAAGATATTTATAATTTTTAAGGAGATTTTTTTTTTAGTATATCTCGAAGTCCTCTTCCTTTAAACGTCTCATTACTCCTCTCGCAAGAGCGTAATGAATCTTTTATACCCGACGTACATTCATCTCATTTCTGCCTTCATTCGTATTTATTTTCCCATTTAATTCGAACGTGAATTTATGCGGTGCAGAACTCCCAACCATTTTTCATCAAGCACTCTCTTTTCACCGTTTTTTACCACTAAAGATATATAAAATTCTGTCTGTAAAGTCGTAACACGAAACGTCTTCCGCGCGTGAATATGAGATAACATGGAAATTCCACGCTCTATTGTATCTGACGGCGTAAAATATATCTGAAATTTTTATCGATTGCGCCAATAAGGGGAAACGTAAAACAGTGACATGGAGAGACAAACTCGAGCTTCCCTTGCATGCGCGCTTACGTCTCTGTGATTTACACATCTCGTAAATGAACACGCAAACATCTCATTACTCGCTATTCCCCGACCGCGTTTTTTTCCAATTTACATCCGCAGTTTCGCTCGAATGTCCTTTCGTCGAGCATATACATGATCTTATAAATAATAACGAACGAATTTCGTTACCGACAGATTAACAAATTATATACGAGGGTAGGTGCGACAGAGTGAGATTAAGACGAACTGACTGAACGAAGGAACAAAACAAATGCGACACCGAGTTAATTAACAAAAACTTGTTGAAGAATATATTCGGCTTATAACATTTATTTACATCGCGTTGAGTAAGCATTTTGTGTATAATGGTAACAAGAAAATTTTCAGGAATCAACACTCCCTGCTCGACCTATCGCGCGTCGCGCGTAAACAAGGTCAACGCGCTATCATTCAAGCGCCAGTACTTGGAGCGGCTGGTAGTGGTGCGGTGCCGTGTGCCGTCGCGTCGTATTACCTGCTCCTTCGAGCCGCGATTAGGCATTGGGGAAACGAATGAGAATACTTCTTACGAGCGACTAGAGATTGCAATCGTGACTAATTCGTTCCCGAGTGTACCGAGATTAATGACTGCGATTAATAAAGTGGATATTCGGCATCGCTACCCGTCGGCGGTGGTGGGCCGTCGCATCGCTAAGCACGCGCCAGATTAGATTAGATGAGATTAATACTTTAACGCAAGAATATGATCTCTCATCGGAGCCTGCAATGGGAAAAACATGCACGCTCCGATAAGTGCACGAATTAAATTTCGAAAGGAATTAATGATTTCGTATCTATCTATAGTCATAATTTAAATGTATTAATAATTGTCAATTCGCGGCGCTTCTACAGCGATGAGATGTGCGTCTCCGTTGGAGTTTCGAACGGCGATAATTTACCAAATATCACAAAAAAAACAAGCGAGTTGTAAATTCGTGCAACATTTTTGGAGCATTCCGATATTCTTCGCGATAAAATGTTTAGACATTGTGTGTGTGTCGTACCGTCGCGCGATTGCCGACGGCTAACTTCGCGCGTGCTGAGCGATGCGACGGGTAGCAACGGGTA